ATTAAAAACAAAAAGTCTTGCTGTAGGAATTTTCCCTTTGTGAACCGTTTGTCTTTCTGATTCAGCAATTCCAGTTCATTAGACTGGAAGTCTTTCATTGAATATTGTGATACAGTGTTTTCCATAGTCAAATTTCGGACTTCTCAGGCTTTGAGCATAATGTTTCATGACACTGGTAGTGTTTACAGTATTCTACTAAAAATACTCCCACATTGCCACTGTGCAGCAAAAACTTCTACATAAAGAATATCAACTTAGACATGTGACAAACTTGCAGCATCTGCAGGCAATGGGTTTCTCTTCTCCTTGCATATTTTGAAGGTTCCAGACTTTTCCTGTTGATTTTCAGTTCAGAAGAAGTCTCAACAAAATGCAGGTTTGAAGTAAAACCTTCTCAAAACCATGGCTATCTTACACATCTTCATCTGCCTACATTACAGGTTTTTCTTTCATCCTTGTATTCAGATTTTGAGTGTACATCAATTTATACAGCGCTGCTCTTGCCCAGTCAAGCAGTGGAGAGGAAGGAATTAAGAAGAAGATGCATTTCTTTTTAGATACGGTATTACTCGTTTCTCAGTTACGTCGTACTGGCAGACTGTTTTGTCTTATCTGTTGAAGTCTGCGGTGCATGTTGGTACCAGAAAAGTTAAATTTCTTGCAGAAGTTCTTTATTGACTTAGGGCTTGCCACTGTGCTTTAAAAATACAGGAAAGTGTAAATATTTTCATGTTGGTGACAGCTGTCTTACAGGATAAAATATTTTAGTTAATTGAAATGCATTAACAAATGTATTGTCCAATATCTAAAAAAGAAACTCATCAAAGCAACTTAAATTACGTTTCTAGAAAGATAATTGATTGAAAATGTACATGTGACATTCCATTTATGACAGATTAACAGAGTTTGTGACTTGAGGATAACAGTTCTTGGTGAAGTTAGCACCAAATATTTTAGCAATGTGCATAAGGGAAGATAAATTGTAAGACCAAATCTCATAAATGGAACTGTAGTTATCTGGGCTAGCAGAAGTCTTGGTAAAAGTGGAAATACAAACTAATTTCCAAAAAATGTAATTGTTGCACTTAATTTTATGTGAGTGCTGGTTTTAAGTATGTGTAGGACTTGATCATGGTAATAGTAAAATGATTCCTTTTCTGTTATCTGGGTTAGACTGCTGTAATTTAAAAATCAAATTGCTGCTAAAACCAGAGAATGAGGCTGTTGGAGAACACAGCTACTCTGAATGCAGACTCTCATCAGGAGCGCGTGGGGCAGTATGCTGGGATGGCTTCCCACTTAATGGCTACTTAAGGGATTGACCTAAATTTTTGCAGTGGGTAGCAGGCTGGTGGCAGTGGATTTGATCATTTAATGCTTCCGGAATTTAATCATGTTGTTATTGGTATTCTACAGTAGCTAGAATTTTCATCATTTTTGCAAATAATTTGTATTTTAATTACTGAAGTTATGCTGATGTTGTTATTTAAGGCCTTGATGCTACCACCATGTGTATGACTTCAGCAGATGATACCGTGGCCTTAGCTGAGCAAAACATACAGATAAATCACCCTGAATCAGAGCCTAAATGGAGCATCTTTGGTAAATTTAGAAATAGCTTACACCTGTGGAGGGACTCATAGCAGCATGACTTGCTTAGCACTCTTTATATACACTCCTTCTTACAGCATGCCAAGTTCAAAATTAGTAGTAAGTGTGAACTATTGTTCCATCTAAGAGCAGAGTAGCATATTGTCTTCGTAAGTGGGTTAGAAGAAAATTTGTCTGCTTTTAGTATAGCTTCTGCCTTGCCAATTTTGCTTTGCATTCTTAGTTGTGGCTCTTAAGCTGAATAACTTAAAACATTTGCCTTAGAAGAGTTTTAGTATGAAGAAAATTGCAATGCAATTTTAAACAGCTGAAGAATAATATATTTTGCTTAAAAATAGATACTCCAAGTGTATTCACTTGGATGGCTCTGTGTGTGTGTATGTGTAAAATTTGTCATGGGAGAAAGGGAAGACTGTGTATTCCATCATGATGGTCGTCCCTCTGTGATTTGAGACTATTTCTGTTTTAGATAAAAGTTCCCATAAGATTCCCTGCTTGGACTCCTGAAGGAGCTGGAAAAACGATTTCCGTCCTGAAGTAATAATAGCATGGGCTTTTGGTTTTGATCATAAGCTGACATTTCAAAGTCATCTGAGGAAAGACATTTCTTGATTAAAATCAGGTTTGGCTTAAAGCAGCTGTAGCTGATCTTTCCCATCTGGTATCGTGCTACTTGATGTGATATCTTTCAGTTGCCCGGTGTTCACTTTACAAGATCCCACAGGAGTTACTGACTTTCCCAAGGGACCTTTCAGTGGATCAGGTCATTCTGTTACCCTGGTTATTGCTCGGCTTTTCTTTTTGCTGGGGAAAACTTAGAAAAGTTGCACAGCAGAGAATATGAGACGATAATCCGGTACCCACAAAGCGTATTTGGAATTGTAGCTCTGTCAGGTCTGTTGCAGCTTGTGCACAGCATGTGCCTGGTTTTTCGTTTATGTGCCAGATCTTCGCGTTTTACCTGTGGGATACAGACATTATGTTTTACATGTGGAATATGGAAGGTAGATTGTGTGACACGTTTCTTGGTTTTTATTCCTTAAATTGTCAGTGTTTAACATTGCTCGCTTAATCCTGGGTGCGGTGGTTTAGCTTCGTGCTTCTGCCGCATGATCACTCTAAGGAATCGCCCTTAGGTGAGACGGGCAGACACCTTATGACTTTATGCTACTGTTATGACTTCAGTTGTAGCATGTAACACGCCTGGAGAGAGATGTAGGCATTTGTGTTTTGGCTTTTTGTGTCTTTTGTGGATTGGTAGAATATGATCTTTCCTGCTAAGAAGCTGGATTTTATCCCAAATCCTGTGAATTTCACACAAGATCGGATTCTCACAGCATTCAGACAGATTGTCAAAACCCTGGCATTTATTTAAGGCACAGAAGAACTGCTTCCTGTGTGCAAACTCAGCAACGTGGCCTCTCCCAGGTACAAGGAAGCTTTTAGACAACAGAAAATTATACACTTTGAGACTCCCTTGAGATACCTCTGGTTTCTGTACAACATAAAATACCAGCTACTAGCTGGGGGTAAATGCATTGACTATGGCAGCTACACAGGAACTCCCAAAGTCATGGGTGCATTTTACAGCGGTTTGAAAATTGGAACTCATCTCATGCCTCTGATCTATTTTCTCTTGTGATTCCCAAAGGCCTCAGTACGGGTGGATGAAGGCAAAACATGACTCAGTGTTTAGCTATAGTATATGTGGGATCTCTTGTAAACAAGGAACTTAAGACTTGAGTTCTCCAGATACAACCTACTCCTAAATTTCTAGTATTTGCAACCTGGAGCTAAAGAGAACGCTAGATTCTGCGAGACCTGTGATACCAGACAAATGAAGGCACATAATGAATATCAAAGGCATGGGCTATTGAGAAGGAAAGCCTGAAAAACTTGTTTTGCTTTGTCATCAGAGGCGCATAAATCCACAGGGAGCAAAGCTGAAAAAAGTTCCGTTCTGCTAGGCTAGTGTCCTTGGATCAGCCACGTTTTCATGCTGTAACTACCGTGCACTTTGTTCCCCCTTCTGTGCCTTTGTTCCCAGGATAGATCATGGTCTTTATCCCCATGGTAAATACAGTACTAGATACTTTGTAGAAATTAAAACTGGCAAATTCCATGTGTTTTATGTCATTTGGCATTCTGCACAAACCCCCTTCAGTTTGTCATAAATTCCTAAACCAGAGCAAGGTCACATCTGGTAGCAATTTCAGTCTCCCAGATGAGGCGTAGTCCTATAACTCATTTTCTCCAGTGCTCTTCAAAGACGAGCTCTCCTGCCCCTTTTCCGTAAGACATACCACTTGCCCTGTGAGCGCTGTAGAATGATTTAGGCTGACAGTCTTTTCACACTTTATAAACTGCAATTTTTGGAACACAGCTTTATATCCAGTACCTAAGACAGTACAAGCAAGCAACAGTGTTGAAGTCTTCTCAATAACAGGCCGTGTCTAGAGTCTGCTTTCTTTTGCAATAGCATGTGCCTGCAGGATGCAGTCACTGTGCTCTTTCTCAGTATTTCGATGCATATGCACCTACCTCCTCATACTCTGGGTAACCTGTCACCTTACATACTGCACAACTTCTAACGGATCCATACACAGCTACTATTCTGCTTTTCTTTCACATGCCTTTAAAATAGTTATAGCAAAAGTTATGAGTCTTAGGTAATTCAAGATATACACGTTGAAGACTAGATTATTAGATGCACTAACAAAGTAATGGAACGATGATCAATCTTTGCACACTGTAGTAATTGAAAATAGCTCTAATTCCCAGTAACATGGAAGTTTAATAGTAGTCAGTAGTTTTCTATGTTTTACCATTTTCCATTGGCCCATTATATTTTGATAATAGTGGTTATTTTGGTATCTCATTGCCTTTATTACTTTATGCTTTCAAAGTACTGTATGGAACTTAGTGATCCACTTTCTCAAAAGGAGCAGCAAAGCAGTGTACTAGTAAGGGTTGGTTTGTTTGTTTGTTTTTTGTGAAACTGTGATGTGTTATCATGTGTTATTAAATCAAATTAACAGTACTTAGTTAAAAAAAATATTCTTCCAAGGTTTCCTACGTCTTCCATAAGGACTTCTAAGGCCTGTCTGTACAGGTGCACGATAACTGGTTTTTTTTCTCTGAGGTGACCAAATTTAAATATCTCTTGATACCACATGAATGATACTAAAAAAAAATCAAACCATCAAAACTTAAAAAGCACGTCAGAATTTTAAATGATTAGTATCGTTACTCTTAATTATTAAAAACGCAAGCTAAAAGTGGCAGCATATTAAAATCCACTGCAACTGGAAAGCACTAGCTAGAAACCACCTTGTCTACTCTGACTTTTCTGACCTAATTTACACCCTTTTGAACCTGTTTATTCACAGGGCAAATATCCTGACATTGTGACCCTTCCGGAAGGACTGCTGGGAGATTATATCATTCTAAGGAACCCCAAAATTTCTGGGTAAGCCAATAAATACATTTCTGGATTTATGCAGATAAAGGATTGTGAAAAGCATATTGACAATCTATACGTAACCGGTCTGCGTGAACATTAAGTCACTCTTTGCTTTAGAACGCCTCTTAACACAGAGATTAGATGATGTGTGTTACATTTTAGGGCTATAACCACACATTAAAAAGACGAGGAGAAAAAACAAAACAAAAAAACCCAAAAATGTATGTACATGCTGCGCGCAGTGGCCTTGTTAGATTAAGTCAATGCTACTCTGTGTACCCACTCTTTTAAAAAGCTGGATGGAAAAAAATAAAGGGCTCTAGCAGGCTTTTCATTTGCATTCTAAGAAAAAAAAAATCTATTACTGTCTTGGTTTTGGAAGCTCATGCTACAATGAAGAAGAGTCTAAATTCAAAGTTCAGGAATGTGGGATGCATCCTCCCTCTAGCACATCAGAAAACACGTCAGGTTTGACTGGATTTGTTCCATCTTGGTTTTCTTTCTGCATTACACAACCACAGCAATGGGCAGAGCAGATGCTGAGGCCAACACCCCTCTTACAGTGACAGGGCGGGCCGCTGGCAACCGTCCTCTCTGAGATAAGGCAGGATTTTACACCCCTGGGCCTGACCAAAGGAGCTCGTTCCTCCTCGCAGGCGAAGGCCAGTGTGGCAGCCTGTCAATTACAGCTCATACTTTCTTCTGTGGTAGGAGGTGCAATGAGCACTGAAGGAAAGCGCAGTTCTTGGGTCGTCTTTCCATTCTTTCATGGAAAGAAAATTGCAGTTACCATATTACCAACAGCAACTGCAGCTATATTTTTCCATTGTTTTAGAAAGAAATCAGGTGAAGCAGAGGATCATTTCACTGCCATTTATTACTATTATTCTACCATACATGGGGGATTTGTTTGGGGCCCCTGCTAGACATGTTCTGGCAGGTTTGGGTTTTTAAATTGAGTAAAAAAAAAATCCTTTCAGTTTCACATAAGACAATATAATTATCACTGCCAGGAATTCTGTAAGGGCCAAGAAAAGTAACTATTTTGTGAATAGATCAGACCATCTTCACTGTAACATGTATTAATGTATTAATTTATACGGAAACAACTGGAAATAAAGCATGGCTCCCTCCATCATGTTTGTGAAACTAGCAAATAAACCCTAATAGATAGGGATGCCTTGGGAGTGTAGTGCCAAATCTGCCATTTAAAACTAAATGCTTTAACTCTGGGTTGGTGAGATGAATTATTGTTAGACTACCACAGTTAGAAAATAAGCTGCTTTATTTTACAGTCTCTCTTCATGTTGACAGGTGCCAAGTTCCATTACACATTCCCTCTCACTCACCATCATGAAATATAAGAATTTTAACATCATTTCAGTGGGTTGGTAGACAAATACACTTGCATATTAATTTGTTTGCAAAAGCCCAGAACAAGCTGTGCACAAATTCTCAGTTTTTGACAACGAAGTGGCAAAAGGCTGACAAATTGTATTTAAAGGAAACTTTTACAGTTGTGATTGAGCAAACAGCACTGAGAAAAGGAGCTTCCTCCTCGTAATGGCTTGTTATTGTGCCTACCAGCTCTGGATTAGGAAAACCTTACTTTCAATAAGGAATACTCCGAAAAGCAGGGATTGGAAAGGAATGCAAGGTACAGTAAAGCAGAGGGGATGTTATAAAGCAGCAGATCTGCTATGAATGTTGTTCTAGCGTAATCCCTGTGTACTTGACCAGAAAAACTCTCCCCCTGCAGACACCAACTGCGTCGTTGTTCACTTAGTATTATGGTGTAGTCATCCTGTCCCACTGCAAAAGCTGGAAATAATAATTACCCTTGCAGAAACACTCTTGAAGGAGTAATGATGGATAAGATGTTTTTATATTTTTTTTTAATTAAAATCAAACAAAGGCAGGAATCTAGGCCTTGGATAGATTTATCCCTGTGCATTATTCTAAAAAGGCCGTGAACAAAATATTGGAGTGGACCTTATTCCAAACCCTGAACATCGCTATTTACACAAACACTTCTGAAACCATTTTCCTCTGCTTTCATGCTGTATCCAAGTGCAATACCTGACCACAGGGTGCAGGTATTATGAAAGGAGCAGTGGGAGGGAAACGCTATTTCTCATTTTCTTTTGTATCTTACTTTTTACCGCTGTTCCATGGAAACTTACCATTCATACGAGACAATGACAAGAACCAGAGGAAAAAATGCTCAAGGTTGAAAATTTGAATGTACCTGGAAATGAAGTAGTAATGACCTTTCCTTGTCAGCAGATTACTGGTTTTCCTTGGTTCAAAATACAAGCATTTCTGATTCTCAAATACAGAGATGGGCAAGTTGCATGACCTGAGGTGAATTTTGTTTCAGACATACTGAGTGTAAACCTCCTGAATACTGTACTTTCTGCTTTGAAGAAACCTTAAAGACAGTTGCCTAGTTAACACTTAACTGACTTTTCTGTGCACATGATACAGGTTTGAATTAATGATCGTTTGGAAGATACACATCGATGAAGAAGGGAGAACTACGCCTGTTCTAGACCTTCTGACTAAAGTACCAGAGCAAGGTAACGTCATTCACTTCAGAGACCGGTTCTTAGCTTTCAAGTAGAACGGCAACATCTCTTTAGATAAAAAGGAAATCCATCTTGCAGAGCCCAACCAGGCAAACAAATCCCAATTTAGCAAGCAGCTAAGCTTCACCTCGTCTATAATTTAAAAGGGCTTACCAAAACAAGTATGTCTTCCTTTTCTCGACAGCAGGTAACCTGTTTTATCCAAAAATGCAATTGCTGACAGCTACTTTCAGTAATAGTGCAGCTTTCTGAAAATAATGTTCACTGTTACATTTTTTTGCAGTCTCGGAGCAGAAGATGGCAACTACTGAAAGTGCACCTGCCCGCTTCCGAAGCATGCTGCTTCTGTTTGGGATTGAGACAGCTATCGAGAATCTGATCAAAGTGGTTGGCTTGGGAAAATGAATACCAGGCATTACTTACAACAGGTAGCAATTTCAAAAGTAATTTTAATTAAGATATTGTGTTACACAGTCTATAATTTTATTGAATATAAACATTAAGTTATTTTCCATTTAGAAACCATACTCATAAAACATGCTATCTGTACAGTTATGGCACGTTATATATAAATTGTCATGACATGAAAATAAATACAGCCATTTAAATACAAAAATGCCAAATAAAATAGTTACATGTACAGAGTGATTTCATTATAAATTTATCTTTCTGAATCATTAATGTACCAGAGTGGTTTATCTTCTTAACATTTTCTAGATACCTGGAAAGTGTTAAAAGATCATGCACTGTCAAAATTAATCAAGTCCATAAAAATCCATTTCATTTCACAGCTCTGTAAAAGTACAGTGATTTTAAAATGACAGGAGAACAGTAAGAGACTCCTAGAACAGAGAGTTAAATAGCTTTCTCATTAAATTAGAGTGGAAGTAGACAATTTGAAGATTTCGAAGACATACTATGAAAAAAAAAAAAAAAAAAAAAAAAGGTAACTGTATGAAGTAACTTTTTTCCACAATGTGTTGAGTAGAGACAGCATTAAGCTAAACAAGAAAGGACCGTTACACTTCTGTAAAGAGAGATGGGCAAGTTAACTACTGCTCACTGCAGTACTTCGTTTTGATTTCCTACTTCTAGGGGGAAATTCTAGTAGGTAACGCCTTACAAAAGCATCACGTTTCATACATTCATCCCTGAAGAAACAAAACAGATTAGACAGATGTCTTGTAATCTTCCTTCACTTCCACCAGATGTACTATCAGCTCGTTTGTGAACTTTCAGTATTTTTCGTGAGAGTTCCTGCTCCGCACTAGCTATCACAACCAAACCTTACAAGTGTCAGTCAGTCACTTCCTTCTTAGGTAGGAGCAACAGTTATTGTTCCTGGAATCAAAGGGGCCAGAAACACAAACTGTGGACTCTCAAGTAATATTAAGAAACTTCCTTTTCAAGTCCACAGCCGCTCTGACTATGCAAGCAGTACAACTGCCTGCTCCATTTATAAGTTATGACAAAGTATTTTAGAGCAATGGTGAAATAGGTGGAGAAACCAAGAACTAAAGCAACAGTCTGTTTATAATACCATAATTTTAATAACCCACTATTTGATCACTGAAATAGTCTCCTGCTGTTCCGGTAGGTCAGGAAAAACTGACAGACCAGCTTGGTTTCTGTCAGAAGCTACAGCTGAGCAATGCCAGGATTAAGTTTTGATTAACAGCAACTCTATAATAAAATATCTTGTTAGATATAAAGCAGACTAATTTCAAGTTTGGAATCCAGCAGACAGGCAAAATTCATTGCTACTTTATCCACTGACATGTTACTGGTTTAGCTAGTTTTATGTAACCTTTAGTTTATTTCATCTTTAGCTCCTTCTTGCATGAACATGAAACTGTTTGATCAAGCGCATACACTTCTATTTGCACATGAAATGTGTGTAAAGTTACAGCATAAAAACCTGAACGCTTTCCAGCTGTGGATAGTCCTTCCTTCCTACTCTTGCCTAACAGTTGGAGGATTTCTGGATTTAAAAATAGATCTCTCTCCCCCCAGGTTTTCTTTGGAAAGAAGGGGTTATTACCACTGTCAACTACCAGCTTATTGCACTGTTGTAGTATCACATTTCAGTGAGAGCAGACCACGACCCTATCCCAGAAAGACAGGCTGTCACCTGGAAGTGGAACACAAGAGATTGCCAACGCGGGTCACAGCCCATGGCAAAGTTCTATTGCTTTATGAGTGGTGTTACTCTATAGCTCATATTTCTTCCTTTAGTTGTGCCAATATACAGGGTTTTCTGGTTTTGCTTTTTGAATTTCAGGTAAAATGGAACAATTCAAACATTACACTGAGATCCCAATATATTTTTTTAAATGTTAACCTACACAATTTTGAAAAACATTACCAGTAAGCACACATTGTATCCAGGTAACAGCTGGTCACTGTAGCTTGAATAGCATCTCTCTACACATTTCAGGGTCTGTAATCCACAAGCGTATGGGAAAAGTGTCTGTAGATTTTATCATACACCCTCAGTTTTGAATATATCCTCAGGCTCCAGCTCAGGATCTTCCTCGAGGATGGCTTTTACTGCAACATCTCACAAGACCTCAGCTGCACATGCCAATGTTTACAAAGTAAAGCCATCATTAAATTGCTGAAGTAGTGATACAAGCTTAGCTCCAGTACTCACCATGAGAAAGTAAGTGACCCCCTGCAGCTTCAGAAAAATCAGATACTGCCTCCTTTTTTCCGTGTCACTGAAAAAGAATGAGCCTGAAAGCAGCTGCTCATGCTACAGAGTATGTGGGATATCAGTGAAATAATGCCAACATTTGACACACTCTGAAAGACCTGAAATAATCTGTAAAACTCAGAATATATTATTCTTACAGCTCAATTTAAATTAGGTAAGAGCGATCTGTGGTTTCACCTTCAATAGCAGCATATAATGTATAGAAAATAAAAGACCAGTATGTCAGACGAGTTAAGCCCAGCTATCATATAAAATTCAAAGATGCTTACCTTTAACCCTTTTCACTTAAGTTTCAGAAGCTTTAGGTAGATACAAGGTAATCACAAAACTTCTGGAGGCAGTCTGGTGTTCTTAATCTCATGCATTAGTACTTAAGAGTGTTCTGCACTAACATGGTGTTCCATAGATCAGTTAACACTTGAGTCGCCACTTCAGTTGTATTTTCAGTGGACTTAATGCTAAAGTTTTATATTAGGTTTTGTCGGAGCATTCTCCCTTCCTAGTAGGTATGAGTGAGACTCAAAGCACAAGCTCCAAGGCAATTCTCTTATTAGTAATTAGGCTTTCTATGTTAGTGCAATACTTCAGGAAACGTTTACTTCTGTGCTCTTTCAATTCTAAGGAAGCAGACTTTTAGTATTAATTTGATCTGTCCTCTAGTTCCAAGGTATGGCACATTATCTGTTCTGTCATATTAAATACATTCATTAAGGTTATATAGCAAATGCGTGTTTTAGTGCTATTCCATGTCTTTGAAAAGGCATACCAGTTAGAAACCAGTTCTTAAAGCAAAAACATTCACAGCTGAAAAATGCACTGAACACAATAGAAAAAAAAAAATCACCATAATTGTATTCCATTAATCTTTCACTTTCTAATGTGCTCGAATAAAAATAACCTTAAGGAAATGGTTACACTTTATGGAGAACTAATGTGCAGTCTTCATTCTCCTTGAAGAGACTGGACATAACTGGGTCATCTTTGGCCTGTACATTCTTCAAATAATAGTTTACTATCTTGCCATCAAGTTTGTACTGATGAGGAATGCTTTCATATGGTTTTAGATCGAGGTCCAGGACAGAAACAGAAAAGGTGAATCTTGATTTGGATGTTAGTACCACAGGTCTCTGCTCAGAGCTGGAAAACAAAAGCGTATTGCACATCTGAGTCACTGAAGCTAACATTTTTCATTTGTGTGTCCTGAGTCCCCTTGCAAAAGTGACTCTAATGTTTATCTTAGAACTTTCGTGAAAGCCTAAGAAAATAAACTTCAGCTAATGCAGCATTTAGGAAACTATAGCTCCAGCTTAACTAGTCTTAAAGTGACCTTGCTGGCACCTCTTCCAGTCATTTTTCCTTTCAGCTTCCACACAGCTTAAGTCAAAACATTACTCTCAATTACTGTGTCTTTGTATTTAGTAATTCTAATCTGTTTCTAGGTGATATGCATACAAAGCAATACCCTTATTAACTAGCAGAACCAGAAAGAATCACTGCAACTCCTACTTAGGTTCAAGGTAATACAAACTTAGTGTCAGATCTAGTGTCCACGCATACTGAAGGATGGCGGACTTATTAAGTCAACCATTGTACAAGTCATCTCCCTCATGAACATTTCATTCAAGAACTGCAGGGCAAACACAGAAAACAATATTCTCTAAAAATAACACAACTTTGGTGAAGCAAACTCGCCCACGTAAGAGCAGACTAGAATATTGTGGCAAAGCTGCCTGCCTTACAGTGAAAGATGTCACCTCTTGCTTGTTGCCTTGTTTTCACTGATGTGCTTAATAAAGACTTCTGTTTTCTAATTAGGCAGTTAAAGGCAACTCATCTTGAAAAATCTCTCATATGAAGATGCCAAGGCAGAAAAATTGTACCTGACTACGAACAGTCAATTCAAATGTCAAGACAGGAGTAAATATAAAACCTTAACCCTCTTTATCAACTTAAAACTTCAGAAACAGACCTCTGACCTAAATGTCTTAAATCAGAACTCTACCTTATTAATATGCTCACAGCCAAGTATTTGGACACACACACACACCCCCCCAAAAAAAACCCTACTTTTTTTAAAGTTACTTGAATTGACTGAACTATGCAAACACATCTTCCATTTCTAAATTAGTAGGAGTCATTCAAAAGCAGGTCTCTCTTACCATTCATCTTGTAGACAGGGTGAAAGGGCAATCATGATGGAGCAGTCTTTAGCAGTCATTGCTATTCTGTACTGCTGCACCTATACAACACAAAAATAACACGAATTTTCTATTATATTTGTATTTGCCTTAGTAAAGCGTACTGTTCTTTATAAAAGGCATTAGTATACTCAGCGTATTAGTATGTTGGTATATTAAGCGCTGGAAATTATCTCTATAACAGATTGTTAGCAGGAGCAAGTGGTTTTACAGCATCCTGTATAAGAATCTTGTTTATTTCCTACAGATACTTTTCTTGAAGGCCAAAACAGCACCAGTTCATGCAAATGCTTCCTCAGTCTAGAAAGGAAATAACCAGCTTTATTTTTCTCTCCAAAAGTGGTTCTAAACATGTTTGTTTTTAACTGCTTCTGCTATCACGATACACCCCAGCACAATTAAGACCTCTAACCATACAGACATCTGACAAGCCAGCGGTGATGCCAACATGCTATCCATCTGTTTCCATTAGACAGGTGTTTATTAAAATTGACGGACTAAATAAGCTTCAACAACATGCACAGGAAAAGTACCTTTGTTAACGCAAATGCTACTGTCCCATCATCTTCAGTTGAAAGATCTAGCAGCTTCTCATAAAATGCTTCATTGTAAGGTCCATCTATCTGTAACGTACTTCTAAATAAATTTTAAAAGAAGATTTACAGACAGCCAAGATGATTTAGTGATTTTCAGCGAGATCTTTCTTCAGCAGCCCAGATACTCAGAATAAACA